TATATAACTCTATATAACTCTATATAACTCTATGTAACTCTATATAACTCTATATAACTCTATATAACTCTATATAACTCTATATAACTCTATATAACTCTATATAACTCTATATAACTCTATATAACTCTATATAACTCTATATAACTCTATATAACTCTATATAACTCTATATAACTCTATATAACTCTATATAACTCTATATAACTCTATATAACTCTATATAACTCTATATAACTCTATATAACTCTATATAACTCTATATAACTCTATATAACTCTATATAACTCTATATAACTCTATATAACTCTATATAACTCTATATAACCATGCATACTACCACATTCAATCAATAAAAATCCCACTAAAACCAGGAACCACCGCGTACCTGTTATATGTATGATGTGAAACAAAACAAAACAAAACAAAAAACACCACCAAGTAGAGTAAAAGAATAAAAGTCCCTAACCTACCTATGTAACTAAATTAACTTATGCCCTAACCTACCTATATAATAAATTACTTTTTAATCTCACCTACCTATGTTTCATTAACTTAACTCATGACTCATGAAGAAAGAGAAAAAAAGTAAAACAGAACATAAAATACTACCACACAAACAAACATTATGTATGTATGTATGTATGAGCAACCGCTATAGAACCCACCTAAACTAAAAAAATGCAAAATACAAACATACAAACCACAGACAAACATATATAACTCTATATAACTCTATATAACTCTATATAACTCTATAATAAAATAAATAAAAATAAAAAACTTTAAAAAATAAAATAAATGAGATCAGGCAGACCGCTTCAAGCCTTAAGCGAGGCAGAATGCCTGATCTGATTTTCACGTTTTCTCAGCTCCTATTTATACTCGTTTCAACCATACTATCTCATCATTTCAATCATTCACATCAGTAAAAAACTTATTTAATGTATGTACTACACTATTATACAGTCTTAAAACTACAATGCTAACCGTACTAAATAGACGTCATCGAACGAACGTCTTCGAGACTTTCTCATTGGCTGGTTGAATCTGCTATATTGCTTTTTATATAAACATATAATTTTATTAATTATTTCTATACATGGATTTTAGTTAATTATACATATACATATATATAAATAAATAAATATATATATATATATATATATTAATATATATCAGGTAGAATTCAAAATAATTTGAGACCACACCTTGCTTAACATCCAACACCAAGCCGAGCCGAGCCAAGCTGAGCCAATATGCGTGGATTTATAAGCGCTATTTTATTAAAATTTTGCTCGCTTTATATATATATATATATATATATATAATATAAATTCATTATAAAAGCAACAGTAATCAGTGCTACATATGTGCGCACGCAGTTCAAATATTTCTGGGAGAATTCCAAATAGGTTGAGACCACACCTAGCTTAACATCCAATTTCAAGCCGAGCCGAGCCAAGCTGAGCCAATATGCGTAGATTTATAAGCGCTTTTATATTAAAATTTTGCTCGCTTTGTATATATAGTATATAAATTCATTATAAAAGCAACAGTAATGAGTGCTACATATGTGCGCAAGCAGTTCAAATTTTTCTGGGAGAATTCCAAATAGTTTGAGATCACACCTAGCTTAACATCCAATTTCAAGCCGAGCCGAGCCAAGCTGAGCCAATATGCGTAGATTTATAAGCGCTTTTATATTAAAATTTTGCTCGCTTTGTATATATAGTATATAAATTCATTATAAAAGCAACAGTAATCAGTGCTACATATGTGCGCAAGCAGTTCAAATTTTTCTGGGAGAATTCCAAATAGTTTGAGATCACACCTAGCTTAACATCCAATTTCAAGCCGAGCCGAGCCAAGCTGAGCCAATATGCGTAGATTTATAAGCGCTTTTATATTAAAATTTTGCTCGCTTTATATACCAATACCCCCAATATCGATATCAAAGAAATAACGCGAGCGAGTTTAAAAAATATTTTATTCAACATTTAATTAAATTAGAACATATACACAAGTTTTATTTGCCAAGTAGGTACTTCCATCCAATCATTTAAACAAGCACAGCCTCCTAGTGAACTATCTCGCAATCTATTTCTTTTTATGCCTACCAGTTTTCCAGATTTTGAAAAAGCTTGTTATTTTGGTGTGGAAGTTGAAGGCATACATTACACTAAGTATTGAATACCGCTAGCATGACGTCATTTCCTACTCATCTTGGAATGTATTTAAAAATAGTACAACGTAAAAATAATAGCACAATATACAATACAAATACAAGTAAGTTTATAATTACGTGTAAAATTTTACAATAGTGACAATAGTAATCTTACTCTTTTTCTTGCTCTTGACATTTCCTCTGCCTTTGATACTGTTGATCATACTATTCTCTTAAGGCTGCTAAATGATTCTTTTAATATTATTCTTTTCTAATAATAATAGTATTATTCTTTTTTATCTTGGTTTTCTTCTTATCTCTGTAATTGTTTTTTTTGTTGTTTTCAATAATTCTACTTCTAACTCTTCTATTCTTACTTTTGGGTACCTCATGGTTCTATCCTTGGCCCTCTTCTATTTATACTCTATATACTTCTGAACTACCTTGTATTATTAATAATTTTTCATCTACGTAGAATAGTGTTGCTAGAAGTTCTTACTTTCATCTAGGTTGAATAAAAAACTTTTGCCTTTTCTTGACGATCCTACTCTTCTCTTCTACTTCCTTAGTCTTACATAGGATTGGTTATTGTAACTCGCTCTACTATGGCCTTCCCATATTCTACACAGAATAGATATTTTAATTGAACCTAAATCCGCCGGTTTACGATCGTCTTCTTGTTCTCACTTCTTCTTAACTCGTGTTGAACACTCTTTTGCTAAATCTGCTTTTGCTTTTTCCGGCTCTATTCTATGGAACTCTCTACCTCCTTCTCTGACGACTTTTCCATCACTTATGACGTTCAGAACGGATCTCAAGATTCATCTGTTTGCAAAATTCATTGAGCGCTGTTGAACATCGCGGAAATAGCGCTTCATAAACTAATTAATGGATTGATTGACTGATTAATTGAATGATAAGTACAATAGTTATCATCTTTAAATAGTATAGTTATTTTATTAACGAATAATTTTTAACCGACTTAACGCTATAGCATTTGTCCGTGATTTAGTTGTTTTTTTTCTATCGTAAATTTTTTTTAGTAAATTATTGTCAAAATAATCCGTTTTGGGATTCATCCATTAATCCCCATCAAAACTTTAGTAAGTACAGTTTAATTTCCGTCTAGAATTTACAATCCGGATCGCTTAGAGCTAAATTTTTGGCCTAAAACTTGAGGGAAAACCAAGCCATTCTAACTAAAAAAAGTTAGAAAAAAACGGCAAAAATTAAAATGCCCATTACGGCCCGAAACTTTAAAAAAGTGTATTTTGGTCACTATTTTTTCAATTTTAATTTTTTTATAAAAATTTATTTTAAAAAATAAGTGAATTGTGAATATCTGTTTAAGAGATGCTAGTAAAAATAATGAAAAAAAGCATTTCTTTTTCTAACTAACTAAGATCGTGACTTTATTTAATTAATTTTAAATTATAAATTAGATTAAAGTTTAATGTTAATCTAATCAGCCTTTTTCTTAAATGATAAAGTCTCACTCTAACCTACAAATTATTGACCTGATTCTATTAACCAAGGAGACAGAATTTAGTGTTGTTGGTACATAGTATGACCCATCACCCTACGATGTCTGCAGCAGTCAGAGGTTTAACAGCTAATGGGGGTATGTAACTCAACAATTTTTATTTGAACTGACCTTTAACCTACACTTTGAATAATAATAAAAATGATATTATTAACGATAATATTAACAATTAGGATTTAAGTAATGCCCTACCTATCCACACCTTGTTGTTTATTGCTATATCTTTAAAAAACTTAATTTTTAACTTTGGGTATAACTTTTTTAATAATTATTTATATTATTCATAATTTTTGTAAATATTGCTCTATTAATAACTTTTTTAATCTACTTACTCTTTATCTAAACTCACTTTTAAATCAGGACTTTCAAGTGGTAACAGTTCAAATGATTTGGCTTCACTATTCGAGTGCCCGGTATGTTTCGACTACGCCCTGCCACCTATCATGCAGTGTCAGAGCGGCCACATAGTCTGTTCCCACTGTCGACCTAAACTGCAATTTTGCCCCACCTGTAGAGGAGCTTTAGGTTTTTTGGTTTTTTATTATTATTGATGTTGTTAGTGTTAATGTTATTACTATTTTTGATATTTTATCATTGATGATATTTCTCTTCTATTTCTATTTCCTCTCTCTCTCAAAAAAATTCCAAAAACACTAGGTAACATAAGAAACTTAGCGATGGAAAAAGTTGCGAGTCAAGTCTTGTTTCCGTGTCGCTACATGTCGAATGGTTGCGAGGCTTCTCTACCACATACAGATAAGGCTAATCACGAGGATGGATGCGAATTTAGGTGCAATATTTTGACTATTTTTAGTACATTTGTTTGGTATTTTGTCTTAATTTTATGGGTTTGGCTTGGATATGTATTAGTCTGTCTACCTGTCTCTTGTTGTCTTTCTATATATCTCTCTCTCTCTCTCTTACTGTTTTTTTTATATAACTTTATTATATATTATTTTCTATAATTTTAACCCCTAAAAACCCCACCTGCCTGGTGCAGGCCGTACAATTGCCCTTGCCCCGGAGCCTCCTGTAAATGGCAGGGCAGTCTCGAACAGGTCATGCCACATCTACTACAACAGCACAAAAGTATAACGACGCTACAAGGTTTGTGCCTCTCTCTTTCTCTGCTTCTCTTTCTCTCTCTCCCCCTCTCTCGTTTTTTCTCTATTTCTCTCTTTCTCTCTCTCCCATGATCTCTTTTTTCTCTTTCTCCAAGTGTGTGATTATGTGTTGCTATGATTAAAATCTCTCTATTCTTTGTGTATGTTTATTTATATATATATATATATATATAATATAATATATATAATATAACCCTATAAATATATATATATATATATATATAATATATATATATATATGTGTGCGTGCGTGTGTGTGTGTGTGCGTGCCTTTGTATGACTACTATAACTGTGTGTGCTACAATGGGATTGCTTGAGTATGCAATATGCCATTTTTATACATCACATGATCATGATATTTAATTACAGTTCAGTTTGTGTGTGACATTAATATGATTTTAATTAATTGTGTAAGTAATTATTTAACTTGTCATTATAATAATAATAATTGCCAAACTTTGTCAACATCTTTCTCTCTCTCTCTCTCTCTCTCTCTCTCTTTCTCTTTCTCTCCATCTTGTATTGGTGTTTGTTGTCGCCATCGTTATTATTATTACTATTATTGTTGTTGTGATAATTATTATTGTCATTATTACCACAGATGAGGTGTGTAGTAGTAGTAGATCACAATCCTTGATTTTTTTGTCACATTCTCAGCTTGTTCTCCCTCTCTCCATTTTTATCACTTTCTCTATTATTTGTCTTATACTCCCTTTCTCTTTCTATCACTCTCTTTCATGTTTCTTCACTTTACTGTTTTTATTTATATCTCTTTCTCTTTCTTTCTCTCTCTCTCTCTCTCTTTCTCTCTCCTTCCCTCCCTCTCTCATACACACGCTCATTTTCTCTCTCGTTATTAAGCCCCCACTAACTGCACCTTGATTAGGCGAGGACATAGTATTTTTAGCTACCGACATCAACCTACCCGGGGCTGTTGACTGGGTCATGATGCAGACCTGCTTCGGCCATCATTTTATGCTTGTTTTAGAGAAACAAGAAAAGTCTGAAGGTCTCTTTCTTGATTGATTGATTAATTGATTGATTGATTGATTGATTAATTGATTGATTGATTGTTTAGTTGGTCTGTTTCTTTATTGCGATTGGTTATAGTTTGTCATTCATTTGATTCCGACTAGTTGATTGGTTACTGAATTCTGATTGGTTAATTGGTTGCCGGATTTTTATTGGCCACTCTCGATTAGTTGATTATGATCGGATGATGACGACGACGATGACTTGCTAGTTTGAAACTTTTTAAAAATGTTTCATTCTTACTTATTAATTTTTTAAAAATTTTATTTCTTCATAGGCAATCAGCTTTTTTATACAATTGTACAATTAATTGGGACAAGGAAACAAGCTGAAAGTTTTGCTTATAGGTAAGTTAAGCTGACCGTAATAAATAAAAAACAAATAACTAATGTGTGTGTGTGTGTGCGCGCGCGCGCGTGTGTTTGTGCGCGTGTGTGTTTGTGAGTTATAAACAATATATTTATACTGATAGAAGTTTTGTTAACGTTAAAACATAATCATATACTGTACTAATTTCTCAAAATTTTCCCTAATCTCTACCCTAAATTTTCCTAATTGGAACAGGTTAGAATTAAACGGGCAGAAACGTCGGTTAACGTGGGAGGCCACGCCCCGATCCATCCACGACGGGGTCCAGTCTGCCATCAACAGTAGCGACTGTTTAGTTTTCGACACAAACGTTGCTAGGCTCTTCGCTGACAATGGAAACCTAAGCATCAATGTCACTATAAACACGTGTTAAGGACTCTTTGTATGTATGTATGTAAGTTCGTTTGTATGTTGTGTATGTATGCATGTATGTATGTATGTATGTATGTATGTATGTATGTGTGGTGTGTGTGTATGTATGCATGCATGTATGTATGTATGTATGTATGTATGTTGTATGTATGTGTGGTGTGTATGTGGGCATGCGTCTGAGAATATGTGTATAAACTAAATTGCAAATATGGCTAAGTAAATGTATATAGGTACATTCATTGATGAAAATCTATGTATTAGTATATTATTTTTGTTGTTTATCAAATATAATATTGAAGATATATGAACATGTATATGTGTGTATATATATAGTGTATATATATTATATTATATATATATATATATATTTTTTTATTTATTTATTTGACTTATTGGACATTATTACTTCTATTATTAATATTATCTTTTCTATTATTTTATTATTGCTGTTGCTATTGGCTATTATTATTATTATTATTGCTTTGTTTATATTTTATTTGTTTGTTTATTAATTTATTTTTCTTTAATTTTTTTTGGAGGTGTTGCAGCAAATTTTTTTTTATGCGTTGCAACTTTGTAGGTTCATCCATTTGTTCGTTCGTTCGACCGTTCATTCATTCATTTATTCATTCATTCATTCGCTTATTATCTATACCAACATTTGTATATTCATTCATTCTTTCTTCTGTCAGTCAGTCATTCATCTATACTATCATTCATCTATACTATCATTCATCTATACTATCATTCATTTATATTTTCATTCGTTTATTTATTCTTTTGTTCGTTCATTCATTCATTCTTTCGTTCGATCATTCATTCATTCATTCATTCCTTCATTCTTTCGTTCGATCATTCATTCATTCCTTCATTCATAGTACTTAGCTTACTGGTTAGGGGTGTGGCTCTGTATGATTCAAAGGTGATCTTGGCTGGAAAATTACCGTTGAAATTACTGTCTAAATCTCTTCTTTCAATTTGTCTTTCAAATATACATGGTGCATCTGATCGTTTTCTTTTCTCATTCGTTCGTTCATTCATTCATTCATTCATTTGGTTGTCCGTATTGAAGTTATTAGTGTTTGCTTGTTTGTTAGTCATTCATTCATTTGTTGTTCATATTTGGTGTTGCTGGTGTGTTGGTTGAATCATTCATTCATTCACTCATTCATTCACTCATTTATTCACTCATTCATTCATTATATATACCTACGCGTTTAGTCATTAATATCATTACTTACAGCTGAGTCTATTATTATTATTATTGATTTTATTATATAAATTTATTAATTTCGAATGTCCGAGTTTTCACTGATGGTGGAGTAATAACGAGTGGATGAATGAGATAAATGGATGGATAATATGGATTAATGAATGGATGGATAACATGGATGAATGAATGGATGGATAAAATGAATGAATAAAACGAGCGTAAACTGAACGAAAGACTGAACAAAATGAATGAATGAAAGTAACGAATAAGAAATTAATGCATACTATATGAATATATACTTGCGTTTGTACCTGTGTTATATAAAATTTAAAATATATCTTAATCAAGTTTGTCATGTATGTGATGTAATTGTTAGCGGAGTAACTTATTGATTAATTAATTATCATAATATATTCATCATCCGGTTTATTTGTATATATAAATATACATATTTTCATATATATGCATATATATATATATATATATATAAAACATATAAATATATTACTCTTTAAGGTCTGTGTATGTGCATGAACGTTTGCTTATTACCTTATTAAGGTTATTTATATATAAATTTTTTCCAATTTTTAGTTAGTTGATAATAATAAAAAATAAAAATAATAATAATACAATAATAACTTACCTTTTAGTTTATTTTTCCTTAAAATTCAAAATAAAATCTTTTTTTCAATTAATTCCTCTGCGTTTTTTCAGATCAGAGTTTTTTATGTAGAAAATTCTCTTCATAACAATAATAATATTACATAATAATAATATTATAATTATATATTACTATTATCATAATAATAATAAGTAAACTGGGTAATATAGACTTGAAGAACTTTATTTGAAATTTAAAGTCATGCAAGGAATGGATAATCATTTTTTATAACCGGATAAAATTATATATATATATATATATATTTAAATGATATATATCTGTAAATCTCTGATCACATTTTCAATGTTATCACCACGCTTTTATTACAACTAATTATGGTTAATATTATAATTAAATTATAAAAATAATTAAATGAGCTATTTTTGTATATTATCATTTTATCATTAATATATGTACATCGATAGTTACTTTGAGAAAAAATTCTTCCCAAAACAAAAATACCTCCTCATACATTACATTTTCTGTTTTAGGAACACACACACGCGCACACGCACACACACACGTATAGTAGTTACATATTTCTTTGAAAAACAATATTAAGGAAAATAACGGTAATAATAATAATTAATAATATAAATAAATTGTATATAGCTTCAATCAATCAACCAGTCAGTCAATCAATCAGTCAATCATTCAGTCAGTCAATCAATCAGTTCATAGTTAGTCAGTGAATTAGTTATAGTAAAATGAAACATTTTTATTATCAATTATAATGTACAATAATATAGGACATTCCTTTCAAATTAGATTAATATACTCAGGGATCCGTAGTCTGTACAAAGAACTGTGAATTATGGAAAGTCATATTTTCTCTTCTTTCCTATCTTCTGCCTAAGATCAGGGTATGCCATTCTCTGTAATGAAAAAATTATAAATTTATAAGTTATTAAACACACGCACGCACGCACTCAAACAAATATTAACTATATTTTAAAATCAATAATAATTGATTGGAATTAAACAAAATTTACGTTGGGAAAAGCGCATAGTCACACACACACACACACATATATATACATATACACACAAACAACAACACACGTTTAGACGACATTTTCCCTGAGATCGGGGGTTGCCGTTTGGCTACCTATGATGAAACCGAAATACCCCTCGACGCCATTCACATCTGTCACATTGTCACTTATGTCATCATAAGTAATTTATTTGGCTAATTTTTACGCAGGACGCCCTTCCTTACGCAACCACAGTTATAAGCGGTGGGCCTAGCCTTTGATGATCCAACATCACTCACAAGGCAGTGAGGGCCAGTTTAATGTCATAACCAGGACTAATACATATACACACAAACAAACAGATAAACAGATAGACAGACGAACGCAGTCGAAAGAAAAGAGATAAAATCTTACACCGCTTACAGAATGTGGCTGTTGTTCTCGCTGTGACAGTTTAGTTCCCAGCCTGCTGTGTATAGAGACCCGACTGGCATCTGTAGAAAATTTGTAAAAACCAATCAATCAATAAAATCACCACTGTGATTACTAAAAATACTTCTCTACCATCACCATTGACACCACCACCACTGCTACTACAACTACTGCTATTTCTGCTATCGCTTCTATCGCAACTACTGTCGCGACCAATATTAACAGTTATTACGAATAATGGTAATCACGGTAATAATGCAAAATACAATAAAAACAACAGCAACTACTAACCGTCTGATTTATTAACGTTCGCGACAATAAGCGGCATGATTTTAGGATCTTTGGTCTCCACGACGACACGCGACGGCTTGTTGCCATGGCGACTGTTACTAACAACGATATCCGGGATTTCCAGATGTAAATTCCTGCCTAGGTCATCATCCGCCATTATGTTGAAGCCCCCACGACTCTTATTTTTAGAAGTACGACGATGATCGTCGGAGTTATCTCTTCTAGACTTTCCATAAAACTTATTGCTAAATTTAGCGTCACTAGTCTGAATGACCTTCCGTCGAGGTTTAGTTTCACTTTCGGTTTCGAACGAGCTGTTAATCTTGTCGCCCTCAACCTCTGCGTTTATCTCATAGCCGGGAGATAGTTTCATTTTCTTGGCCACGTCGGATGCGTCGGTGGGATGAGATTTTTTTGACGAACTGGACGGTTCTTTTGAGGATTGAGATTTCTTAGTAACATCTTCACTGGCTGCCTCATCATCATTAACGTCATCGTTGCTGTTATTGTTTTCATCACTTTTTCTACTTTTATTATTGTTTTTGCTCGAGGTACTTGTATGACTGACATCGGTCCTCTTATTATCATTCTTATCATTTTCATTCTTCCTGCTGCGTGTACTACTGTCAATATCATTTCTCTTATCTCGGCAACCGTCTTTACCTTTATGAACATCACCAACGCTATCATCAGCATGCTTTATTTGGCTCCTGGGAGCTACAGAACTCCCAGTCGACTTTTCATTCAAATTAGATCCGCTAGCTGACTTTTTAACTAAACTTTGAACGTTTGTCGATCTTAGAGGAATGGCACTTCTAACTGATTTTATTCGATCGACTCGGCTGTCTGCGGCTCGTTCCATGACGGATTGTCGGATCCTGGGAGAGCAGTCTCGGGAGTGAAATTGTTCGGGATTAGCAGTTGAAGGAATCGATAGCGTGTCCATCGGTTCATCTCTAACGACTCGATCTTCGCTTCTTCTCTTTCTGTATCGACGATTATCTTTATTCTCGTCATGGAAATAATCTCTAGGATTTTCTCTTGAGTTGGAAGGCGGAGTCATTGAAGAGCGACGTTGACGAGTATGATGTGGGTCACGATATTTTTCAACCTTCACATCACCAAATAATTCTAACTCCTCGCTATTCCTTACGTAGTCTTTCTGCCGGTAGTAAGGGGAAGGCGACTGTCTGTGACTGATGGCAGGCGATTGATGATGATGATGAGGAGGACGATCGTGATGATGGTCGTGATGATTATCGTAACGGCGATGATCATAATCATAACGACGGTCCTGACGATGATCGTGATCATGATAATGATCGCGGAGGCGAGAGGGAGAGAGAGTAAGGCGATGGGGAGGAGGGGGAAGAGGAGAGCGAGGGAAGAACCTGATGGGGGGTGAGTGATCCCTGCCAGGTCGATTTGTATCAACGAAATCTCCCATACCACCTGCCTGATCGCATTTTCGACGCTTTTCATATAGATAATCCTTCAAGTATACCCCGCCAAGGTCGTGGTCATCGTTACCACCGTTGCCACCGTCTTCGACGTCATCATCGCGTCGTCTACCGTCGCTTAACCGTTTGCTATATTCGTCATCTTTCGGATATTTCCGACTGCCAAGTTTATCGATCGAATACTGAGTAGGAACATCGTCATCGTAACACTGAGTCCTACTCTTCTTAACATCAAAAAATTCACCATCATGTCTCTGGTGGTGGTGGTGATGATGATGATGGTGACGATAAGAATCGCGATAATATAGTTCTCTATTATCTCGACGTTCTGTTTGATTTTTATTTCTATGGTCTGATTGATCGCGATTAGAATTCTTTGCCAGCTCCCTATCGCGTCTACCTTCATTTTCTTTGTGATTATTTTTACGTCTAGAATGGCTTTTATCGTCATCCATTTTGTCCCTGGCTCGTTTGGCATCATTATAATGAAGCTCTCCCATATTTTTATCACTATCTCCACTATGGTTATGGTCTTTGTAATTAGATAGATGTCTGGCAGCAGTCGACACTTTGGGAACCTTCTCATTTTGAACGTCACTTTCATTGCGGCTGTCATCATCACCATCGTTATCATTACCGCGATGATGATGTCGTTTACCGATGTGACTACTATTGTTCTTATCATCGTTATCGTCGTCGTCATTGTGCTCACCGCTGTTAGGCGACGGCGATGATGATGATGATGGCGATGATGATGGCGATGATGATGACGTAGACGATGACGTGATTTCCCCATCATCATCATCATCATCTTCTTCTTCTTCCTCTTTATCTTTATGCTCTTCTTCATTTCTGCTAGGCATATCATCGGCATTGTTGCCATCATCATTAGCACTTGCAAGTTTCCTGTCACTACCACCACCATCATCATCATCAGCCTCTTCGGAATAAGTTTCATCATTGTCATCATCAACGCTACCGCCATCACTTTTCAAACCATCACCATCATCATCATTACGATCAGCAGCAGCGGAAGAAGCGGCAGCAGCGGCATCTTTCTTATCGCCACCATCATCATGGTTTTCATTATCATTACCATCATTGACGTCGTCATCGTCACAACCCAACTGGAAGCTGACACACGGAATATCCAGTTGGAATTCATGATGATCGTCATCATCCTCCTCATCGTCGTCCAGAAAACTAAACTGCCTCAACTTCTTATGTGGCGACGATCGCAACGACGGCGACGACGATTTAGCCGCTGATTTGACGTCATCATTACCGCCACTAACATCATCATCATTGTTATCATTATTATATTCCCCATCATCATCATCATCAGCATCATCGTCGTTCTTAACACCTTCATTCTTATCTTCATCTTTCTTGACATCATCTTCATCACCATCATCTCCATCAACATTGTCATCATCCTTAATGACTGGCGATGATGATGATGGTGCTGGTGAAGATGGAGGCTCACACATCTCATCACCACTACTACTATCATCACCACACTTATCACCATCATCATCTTTATTATTATTATTATTATTATTGTTGTTGTTGTTGTTGTTTCTATCATGGTTTAAAATATCAGCACATGCATCTTGATCTAAGGACAGCCTTTTCAAGATTTTACTGTTTATGTCCTCTTCATCATTCTTTCCATCATTATCATCATCATCATCATCATCATCCTTATTATTATTATTTATACTATTATCATCATCAGTAGCAGCAGCAGTATTATTATTTTTACTATTAGTAGTAGTAGCATTATCAACACCCTTTTTTTTTTTGTTTCCATCATCATCATCATCGTCCTCATTTGAAATCATCTTCTCGGCTTCCGCTTCAAATTTTTCATCTTTAGTTATAACATCATCATCATCGTCATTATCATCATTACGACGATGATGATCATCATCATCATTACCACCAACACCATGTATAAAATTTTCGTTACTATTACTATTTTTTTTACTACTACCAGCATCACTACTACTGCTACTACTACTACTACTTATCGAATCATCGTCGTCGTCATCATCGTCAACTTCTTTTTCATATCTCTTGAATTTACTTGACTTTCCTATTGAAGGTTCAATCATGATAAAATGAGTGAAGTGCAATAGTAGATATGTAAAAAAAATCCATCAAAAATCAACCAATCAATTAGATATCTATCAGATACCAAACAACCAACCAATCAAAAAAATTGCAGTAGCTAAATATATCAAAATGATATCATCCAAATATCAGTTAGTCCATCAATCAATAAATCAAGCAAGAAATTACATTGAGAGTGTGACATACATATGTATATAATGACAAACAACAGATACAATTACACATACATCATGATAAAACATACACACGTGTATATACACACACCCAGTCACACATACGCACACACAATCACACACACGCGTGCGCGCGCACTCACACACACACACACACCTTCCTCTGCTGGAACACCAAGACTTTTATATTCATTACTCCACTTATCTTGGGGTCTAACAAACATCGTTGTTGATGTTGTTGATGATGACGAACTTGTAACCCCATTTCTAGGGGTATGTTTGGTTAAATTTGTTGCCGACAACGATGATGCCGCTAGCGTTGATGATTCTGCAAAACTTTCAGTGTAATTTTTTCTGTATTTGTTGCTGTTGTTGTAGCCACTGCTACTGCTGCTGCTGTTGTTGTTGTTATCCGTTTGTATTACTATTAAATTACTTCTGTTGGTTGCGTTACAACTGCTACTGATGTTGTTGCTCTTCAGTGTGGATGATTTGTCCATCATGTTGTTGTTGTTGTTGCTGCTGCTGGGAAAATGGTGGTGTTGTTGCTGCTGCCTATTGAAATTTGAATGTTGTTGCTGCTTGCTGTTCTGTAGAATCTTCGCAGCTGGAAAACTAAGTGGCCTGAACGGGGCCTGCATCGATGTTGACGTCACTGCAGAGTGCTGCTGAAGATGTGGTTGCTGCTGTTGTTGCAGCAACATGTTGCTAGGCCTCAGCAAATGTTGCTGTGCTGCCTGTTGCGGCATTGGAAAGATGTGTGGAAACTGTGGTGGCATGTGTGTTGGAATCTGAAGTAACTGCTGCTGCTGCTGCTGTGGTTGATGTTGAGACAGAGGTATGTACATTTGTTGTGAATGTGGTTGCTGGGGAGGGAGTAGCGTAGATGTCGTTGGCATTCTCAATACTATTTGTGGTTGTTGTTGGAAGGGTATAATTGTTGCTGGCTGATGGTGCAACTGCTGCACAGTTGGTCGCGGCAATGGCAACAGATTTTGTTGTTGAGGCAGCAAATGTGGCTGCTGTTGCTGATGAAACGGCGGAATCAGCTGCTGTGGCTGTTGTGCGGGCAGTATAAGTTGTTGTTGTGGCTGTTGTTGTTGCTGAGATGGCATAGCAGCTGTCTGCAATGGAAAAACTTGTTGAAACTGTTGCTGCAAGTGTTGAAGCTGTTGTTGTTGTTGTTGATGATGATGTTCCAGCTGATGGTGTACTTTTAAGCTGTCGTACACGGGAGGAATCTGCTGAACAACTATCGAATTTGATGTAATTGACGTCGTCATCGACCTCCATCTGTTATCATAAGAAGTTGTAGTAACCTGTTTAGGAACATAAATTATTTATCTAGATTAATTTTTATTCTTTTTGCCTCCAAGCCCCTGACAAACAGGCAAGCACGGTGCATAAATTAACATAAACTAACATAATTATCAAGTGATGTGAATGATTGATTACTACATTAAGGACATGAGCTGTGGTGTCGAGTTTGACTCATGACTATTAACAAATGAATAAATTAAAAGAAAGAAAGAATGCATAACAGTTGAATGAATGGAAAGTTTAACAAATGAAAAACCAAATTATCAAATAAATAAATTAACAAACTACAACAAATTAACGGATGTGAATGAATTGAATGAATGAATAAATGAATGAAGTAACGAATGAGTGAATGAATAAATTGAAAATGCATTGAATGCATGAATGCCTAAAAACAGAGAAACAAGCCAATTCTGTTAATGGAAAATTATATAGGCATTCATGATTTAAAAACAAATTTTAAAAATATGTAAAAAAAGCCAGCTAACAATAACATTAAACAACATACATGCATACATACATAAATACATACATACATAAATACATAGATACATACAAACAAACAAACAAACATACACATACATACTTAGTGTTTTTCCAAGCCATTCACAACAGTGAATAGTAACCAATTAAGTAACCAAAAATTTTTTTCTTGCGTGAGATAGTTTACAATTTTAAAAAAAATAGTTTGACATAGTCGTCCTATCTCGGGCAACCGGGTCTCTGGACGCAAAACGAAGATTGATTGATTGAATTTGACATAGTCATTCTTTACATACATATAAATGACAAAATATAAAAATTGTCCTATATATATATATATATATACAACTGTCAGAAATGCAATTATTGATGAAAATTACAGCATGTTCTGCATTGGTTAGCTTCTTGTTTAATAGGCCAAAATATACATACTAGATACTCTTTTAAACAGCAATATATAAATTCAAAATCATTACAAAATAAATAAATATATACATATATATGTAGACCCATGAAGACAAAAAAATAAATAAATTTATAAATAAATAATTATATATAAATATATAAGTTGCACAACCAGTTTCATTGAGCAAAGCAACATGAATTTTTTCAATAAATAAAAATGTTTATAAATAAAAAAGTTATTTGATGATGATGATGAGTGAATGAATAAATATCATGAAAAACAAACTAATAAAATAAAACACTGAGATGAAATGATTGATATTTTTTATAACGATCACAAATAGACCCAGACTTGTTCTCGATTGGTGTTGCTGCTGTAATCAGTAGTAGAAGAGTCAATTGGTGATTTTCGTTTGCTTACCTTTTCCCTGTTTTTCGTTTTCTCACGATCTCGACCACTCTCCTCATCCCTATTTCTTCTTCTCCTATTATAATAATCCCCAGAGGAAGCGGAATGGTCAGTGTCATTGTCATACTTTATCTCCCTGAGGTTCAGCTTGGCTGACAACTTCATTTGTTGCTGCCTCTTCTTCGATAGCAACGCAGCTTCTCTCAAAATCTTCAACTCTTCGTCGTCAGATGTGTCTGACATTTTGCTGCAGACGACTTGAAA